GCTAATGCATAAAATAATTTTTTCATTTTTTGTCAGTGCCATGAGATCTGCACGATTCGTTCTATTTTCAAAAGTGAAGAGTCAGATTAAAAAGCTTGACCTGTAGACAATAGTAGGTTTATTTTTTTTTAAAGAGTTACGACCTGTTAAAAAATTAGATTGTTAAAAAATTAGATTCAAATATTTTTTTTAAGTTAAATGAATTATTAAGAGATGTGTATCAATCGAAATGTATATTAACTACATGTAGAAGGTTGCCAACTGTTTAAAAATCAAATTCCATTTGAACTAAAGGAATTAGGTAATTAAAATGGACAGGTATCACCATAAGGGAGTCAGACGAAAGAGGTTTCAGAAGGTTTTAGCTTGAAAATATTACGAAGATGGTTGCCACCTGTTTGTAAAGTCAAATTTAGTTAAACTAAAATAATAATTGTGTACAAATTTTATATCATAAGTTCAACAAATATTGAGCATTTTAATGCAAACAATTTTTGAAAAAATTAGCAAGTTTTTTTTATTTCCAAAATGCTCGAAAACCGCTCGAATGTTTTTGTTTTTTAACCGACTTCCAAAAAAGGAGGAGGTTATCAGTTCGTCGGAATATTTTTTAATCTGGTTTAGATCCGATTATTGGAACATGAGATATATATATATATGTATATTTTTTTATGTCGTTTTTTTTTGCTAAAAATTACTTGTGTTTTCTTTAATCAAAAATTCAAGATTTTTCCTTTCATTTGGTATATGGGAAGCATTGGTTGATATCTTCTAAGTATGTTTATTTGATTCAAATATATGGGCATAAATAATTTTCTATACAAAATCACTTCGTCACCATTTGGCAAACGCGCGCATGCGCTGGAAGTGAGAGAAGGAGACAAAAAGTATGTGTGTTTAGGTATTTCGGCTTTTGAATAACAGATGGCGTAATATTTATAAAAGGCAAAGGTGAAGGCGAATATGTAGATGAAGAATATGATAAACATAAAAGTAAAAACAAAGATAAATATAAAGAAAAATATGTGGATGAAGATACCGATAAAGGTAAAGATGAAGATAGATGAAGAAAGATTAAAATAAAGGTAATTACAGAGAAAAGGATATAGACAGAGACTCAATATGGGGACTATTTCGGGATTTTAGAGATGTTCGGAATTCTCAGGACTTATCGATATAATAATCGATATTTTATCCGGTTTTGTTATCGATATTTTTTATCGATTTTGTTATCGAAATTTTTATCGATATTGTTATTTATTTTGCTATCGTTATTTTCGGAACATCGATATAATAAACGATATTTTTTATCGATTTTGTTATCGATATTTTTATTGATTTTGTAGTCGATATTTTTATCGACTTTGTTATCGATTTTGCTATCGATATTATTATCGATTTTGTTATCGATTTTGTCATCGATGTTTTTACGATTTTGCTATCGATATTATTATCGCTTTTGTTATCGATATTTTTTTCTTAGCATGTGCTTTCGTTTTTGACTTGGATGTGCTCTTAACCATACCACGTATTTAGTTGCTTTTAGATGTACAGCTATCAATAATAAATCTGATTGAAGATGACACTTATAGTCCCAGATGTACCCATTATTCATTATATCTGCATCATCTGTAATTCTTTGTACATTCATTAGTTTAATAAAATATCTTTAAGGCATTGGGCCTGGTTGTATTTTATTTGCATTTGATATAAATTTATGACTTGTTTTGACTGTTCTGCCAACAAAGTTTACCTTAACTTTCCGTTCCCCTTCCCCTTCCCCACCTACTTTTACGGACTCTTCTCATGCCGCAACTTTCTGTTTATTATCGATCAAACCATGCAAGTATAATAATTTGGCAGTGTGCTCGTAAGAAGGCATCCATATCTGTAGGAAGGTAAACAATTAAGCGCAAACTACAAATACATAAATAATTTTTATCTGCTACACAAATTTAAATAAACAATTAAGTACAATCTTATACATTTATGTTTGTATGTACATATTTGCATACAAATGTGCATACATATGTATTTACATACATATAAACTCACAGTTTACCAGAGCGCCAGCAATTCGCAACCGATATGTCATCGTTTACAAAATTTTCTTGGCAAGTGTTTGTCACTCTCTCTGTGATATCATCATTTTCTCTGCCATTTTCCAACCAAATATGCATCTGTCGTCGTCTGATTCGACTAATGGCATTGCATGTTTGTTGTTGTTTATAGAGTAAAAATAAATTTAATGGCTTATTTGATTAACTTTAATTGCTTCGTTTAGTTATATACATACATACATAAGTGTAAATATTTGTGCTGCTTTATATAGTTAAGATATCATTTAAAATGGTACGATTGGTAGTATGAAAAGCTAAGCGCCTAGTAGCTATTCTGGGTGCACACAGTTCCTATGTTGTGTAATTTGTACTGGTAATTATCGTAAAATGTTTACAATGAATGCCGATGTGCGCTAATTGGCCTAATGATAAAATACCTGCACATTTTTTCACGGCTAATGAAACACAATTTGTAATTTGTAACAATGTCGGAAAATTTAATTTAAAAGCAAAGCTAAACTTGGCTGAACATTTTGCATTCAAAAACCCAGATTCCTCCTATCGTAGTAATTTAACACCCAAATTCAGAAAAAAAGAAAGAAGACTCTTAGGGGCGTTTTCTCGACTGCTTGCTAAAAATTCACGGTCAGTATACTTTATCGATTGCCCGTTGTAAGCATGTGAGCGACAAATTTGCTTTAACTAACAGTCTAGAAAACGGCCCTAACTTATTTATAAATCGAAAATTTGCATGAAAATGTCACTTTATAGAACTATAGAAATATAGATATTGAATTAGTTCGCCTTTGAAGAAAGTGCGCGATATGTAGATCGAGTTATAAGGCTATAAATTAAAATCCCATGAGAAAGTGGATACTTTACCTACTTTCTAAGTACCTTCGAAAATATATTGAATATCGAGATATTTGAAAAACCCACATTTATAGTCCGATTTGGTTCATATTTAGAAAGTTTGCTTTAAAAATATTTGTTTTTATTATAACTTACATTTTATGAACGACCACAACCACAACAGTCAATTTTTTTAAATTTCATTACAAAACTCTGGAAAATGCTAGAAATTTTAAATTTATCAATTCGATTTCGTAGAAAAATGTTGAATATGCAATTTTTTAGCCCATTAAATGCGCAATACCCTCGGCAAAGAAATTCTCAAAAATCGGCGGAATTTTTTAGCGACTTGAAACTTGCACTTTAAATTTAAACTGTATACTAAAATTTTTTCTAAGAAATCGAATTGAAAAAATGAAAATTTCATGGTATTTCTTGAATTTTCCAAAGTTATTTTTGATATTAAAAAAATTTATTATTGTGGTTTTTGCTTTGCACGTTTCTTTAATTTCGTGTCAATATTAAAGCATAAATACATTTAGTAGGCATTTCCGTCCCCAACCATTGCCGTTGCATTCGACATGTTGATTTCTTTTAATTTATTAACGCCGCTAAATAAGTTTCACTTCAATTAAGTATGTTTGAGCAAAATCCTCTTAGACTTTGACTTTAGGCATAGTGTGGTTGAGGCCCTAAAATCGCTGTTCCTACAGTGTAATATATGTAATGAGCATTGAAATAAATTTCCATGCTGCAATTACCTTTGAAAATTTAGTCGATATAAATTTCATAACTCGCATGTCTACAAAATATTGAGATAATATTCATTGTCATTGTTATTGGCAATTTTTGCATGTAAAAAAGCGAAAATTGCATCATCAATAAGCAAGTTGGAAATGTGATTTTGCAATGCCGAGAGTACAGTTGCTACTCTCTTTTTTTTATTATTTACATCTTGGCACGGCAAATTCACAATGCTCATCACTCAAACATTTTGCTTGCTGCCAAATAAGTATTTGTTGTACTGCAACACAAAAGTACAAGCTACGAAACAAACTACTAATTGCAAGTTATTTTCTTTGCCGCTCGACTAAATTTTGCTTTTATGTATGCAGCACATACACTGGCGGCCGAAATAATAGACACGTCGTACTTTTAAGAATTATGGCTATATTTATTTAGTTTATTTTATGTTTAATATTTTTTTATTAAAGCCTAGTTATACAACAAACATTATTTAAATCCGCTTTTCCAACTTAAAAAAAATTGTAATAATTCAAATTTTTAGAAAAGTTTTGGTTGCAGTTTTGTAACCCATTAAATTTTAGTATAATAAAGTACAAGTTTAAATTGGCTACAAAATACCGTTGATTTTTAAGAATTTTTTTGCTGAAATTCTGAATAAAAATTTGGTGAAAATTGGTCGAATTTTTATAATTTTTGTAAAATGTTTGAAAACGGGATTTATATGGTATTTGTTTTATAATTAACCATGGAAATATAGCCAAAACTCTTCAAAGTAAGGCGAGTCTATTATTTATGCCGCCAGTGTACATATTTGTTTAGCTGCACTCAAGTGCGTCGCTGATGAGTCGTACGTCAATTGGGCGGGTTATTTATAAGCATAATTTTAAAAACAAACAAATAAAAAAATTTCATCTTGTTTCCGTCTGCAACCGCTGATTGGCGGCATTCTGACGCTTAGCTCCACCGTTGATGATTGTTGGCGCTTTGGCGATTGCACGGCTTGGCTTTACAGTACAATTTGCGATATAAATATTCTTAACATCGGAATTTAAACAATATCAATTGAATTTTACGCTCGCTTCCTTCATTCACAACTTTACATGCTGCTTGCAAAATTAATTTGTGTCAGCTTGTAAATAAATTTTCAACACATTTTTTTTCGTCTTCTTCTTCTTCTTCTAGAACTGCTGGTACAGTTGGTGCTGTTGTGACTTGTCCCTTGGAAGTGGTTAAAACACGCCAACAGAGTTCAACTTCTTTTATCGCGCCGACACGTCTCGAACCGGCAAGCTCCACAAATGGCTCCAGCGAATTGTTACGACCCGAACAGCGACGTAAATTGAGCACGACAATTTTGCGTAAGAGGTCACAGCCACAGGTGATTGGGGGTGTGCGTAGGGTAGTACCAATTTTATAATCCATTTTTTTTTTCTTTTCACAAGAAATAAAGTACTCTCTCCTAGCTACTTGGCAATTGGAATTATTAATAATATTTGATTTTCGTTTTTTTTTATTTTTACACGCTTTACAGATAATGGCTATCTCACATTGCGGCATCTCATCCACCTCCACAAAATCAATGAGCATCGTGCAATGTTTAAGGTAAGTATTGGAAATTTAGATGACAACATTTTTTTTTAAAGAAAATGGGTTGCCAAATAAGGGTGATATTTAGCTGACAAAATTCTCGTTAACCCAGCAGAAAATTTGTAATTGCCTCTTGTATGTACAAATGAACATGTCTGGACTAGTTTCGGGTCAAGTTCACGAATATTTTAGGACAATTTTGGGACTAGTCCTGGACTGTTTCAAGACTAGCTCAGGACTATTTCCGAATCATTCGGGACTAGTTTGGGATCCTTTTGGCCTGATTCGGAATCATTTGGGTGACGTTTCGGGACCTAGTTCGGAATAATTTTCAGGTTAGATCGAAACAATTTACGAAATGTCTCTGAAATAGCCCTGAACCATTTCCGAAGTGGCTATGAAAAAGTCGTGTACTGGTCCCACCAAAATTAATAAAATGAAATGAAATGTTAGACGCTTTAATTTTTTTTTTTTAACTTGAGTAATTTTCGAAAAAAATATCACTCTGAAGTAAACAACCTTTTTTATATTTTATTTATTTTTACTATTTTATACAGATAATTAATTTTTTTTTGCCTTTTTTTGCAGACACATAGTACAAAATGAAGGCCCACGCGCTTTATTCAAAGGTCTGGGACCGAATCTTATTGGTGTGGCACCTTCACGAGCTATATATTTTTGCACCTACTCACAAACAAAGAATTTTTTAAATAGTGTAAGGTAAGTAAATGCTTGATTAAAAATAATTAAATAAAAGTCTACGACAGAATACATATAGGGTGTCATATAAATTCGCATTTTGCGCGTAAAGGCGAGTAGAGAGTAAAATTTTGTAAACGAAATCTGGGTCGTTCCAGTTACATTTACGCAACTGTCGTGGGAATCCGAACATAGTCGCCCAATGATGCAGTAAATCGAGTTAAACATTAACCCCAGGAAAACTAACACGAATCATTATGGTACAAGAAGGAACAAATTACTAGAATAATTCCATCAAGGAGAAAAGAAAAGAACAATAAAAGTCATTCGGTAGTTATTCTTGCTGACAAGCTCTCATTAAATCCGCACCTAAATACGTAGATAAAGTTATCCAAATGCCACGGCTTCCATCTAGACCTGCCGGTGTCGAATAGGGGGACATAAGATCCAAAATTGTCAAGGTGCAACTGGGTGGCCTGCACCCTCCTCTAAACCTAAATCTAGGTAACTATGTAGTAAGTTACTTGATGTTAGCTCTACTGAAACGTTACTGAATTCCGTGCTTGCTTACTCAGTATATAAGGGATTTGATTCGGACTAAGGGCACCAGTTTAGAGAGAGCTCTGTAAGCCTCGTAAAAAGGTCATTTTGTCAATTCGAACAAATCGGAACTCATGCTACCGACCAAAAAAAAAACAAAACAAAAAAATACAATTAAGATCTCCTTCCTGCAATGGAACGACTCTCACAATATCATTTGAAGTGAAGGACCTGAGCGTTGTATTAGACACCCCTCTGAGCTGGAAGACAAATATCGAGAAATGCATAAAAAAGAGTATTTACTTATAACCTTTGATACATAAAAGAGGATATTCAGCAGAAGTTTCGGACTAAGTTCAAAGCTTATCTTTTGTCCGATATTAATGAGGAGGAGGATGTGATTAATGTGATGCTGTAATAATTGCTCATAGACCTGCACATACGTGAAATCGCAATCAGCGAACTCTGGAATCAGACCCTAAGAGTGGCATAGTGGTACTCTTGATAAGCTTTTATAATCACGGAAACAATCAAACTTCATATCTCCTATGTTGAACTTTAAGAAAGAACTTTCAGGTGATCTTTCATTTTGACCGAAGTTGAAATAGAGCCAGGATAATCAATGAGAATTTTACTGGTACGTATACTGACAGCTACGGTAAAGGTGCGAAGGTATAATCTGAGATGTTGGATGTGTCTTTCTGGTTCCGAAAATCTAACTTTGCTGGCATTGTCCAAATGGAAGTACTGGGGATTTAGGGGACCTATGGAGTAGTGAAATAAACCGTGAAATAATACAAAACCGATACATTTTCTCAGATTGGCGGGCAGCACTAGTGGCTACTGGCATCACCAGTAGGTAACTTATTCTAAAGTAGGCAGAGATTGCAATTGACACATACACGGCACCGAAAAGACTGACTGAATCGGCACGGACCAAGACACCGCTTCAGGAATTCGATGGCGAGGCAGTAAACTGTCTACTCGGAGTAATCAAGTGGGAACTGCATACATACATTTACAGTTGGTACGTTTGGCTAAAATCCGATAGAACAATCTACAAAACTACAAGGAATATCTGGCCACACTATTCCAAGTAATTTGACGATACCAACAAATTGTAAAAGCAGATAATATCAACAGTTCCAGGGAGAGTGTATCAATGCATTTAGGTGCTGGGCCAATCTCAGATAACCATACTACCAACCAACCAAGACCACAATATGGTTCCCCCTTCATCCTTCCATGAAAACGTTTAAATATCCTGTTCTTGCTATTTAGTTGGCGACACCGTTGCCGCCTTATTCCAAAATACTTACACAAAGGGTAAAGTTTCTACAACTTTATAGACCATTTTCGCTCACCACTACGCTGGAGTAATATTTTGTATACATTTATTATCAATAATACATACATTTTAATGGATATGATAACTTATTAACAAACAAAATTCCCTGTTAATAATTCGTCATACATTTTTTTGTTTGTATTTTCAGTTTCCTGCAAACCGAATCACCGCAAGTGCACATACTAAGTGCTGCCAGCGCTGGTTTCGTCTCGTCCTCACTAACAAATCCCATTTGGTTTGTTAAGACGCGTCTGCAGCTAGACTACAATTCCAAAGTGCAAATGACCGTGCGTCAATGCATAAATCGGGTGTACTCGCAAGGTGGCATAGCTGGTTTCTACAAAGGCATCACCGCCAGTTACTTTGGCATCTGTGAGACAATGGTGCACTTTGTCATTTACGAGTTTATCAAATCGAAATTGGTAAGTAAATTTGAACGAAATACAAAACAAATAATACTTGATTAATCCATTCATTTCTCTTCGTTCACACAGATTGAAATGCACAACACACGTAACGGCGATGCCAAATCATCGAAAGATTTTCTGGAATTTATGATGGCTGGTGCCATTTCAAAGACTGTAGCATCTTGCATTGCATATCCGCATGAAGTGGCGCGTACAAGACTGCGGGAAGAGGGTAATAAATATAATACATTTTTCCAAACGTTACACACCGTCTGGAAGGAGGAAGGGCGGGCTGGACTATATAGGTAAGTGGTACAAATATCTAGTAAATTTGTAATAATTACCAAATTTGGTGGGTAAACAAGTAATTTTAAAGCACACAAAACATAACCGACTTCAATGCTCATATAAGAGTTTAGGGAGTCCCGTTAAGTTCTTAATCATCCAATGATCGGAACTAAACCAAATTAGTATGGAGTTATCGCCTTTCTGATAAAAAAAAAAGAATTATCGAAAACGGTCCACGTGCTCTAAAGTTATCCGGTTACATAAAGTAAATATTAAACACAAATATGCTCCTTTTTTTGAAGCCGTTTAAAAAAGCGAAAGAATTGCTTTTGCAATTATTGTAATCAAAGCGTACACTGCGTTGATTACGGTAGATTTGTTGTTGTTTTCAAATACTTGTGCATTTTCGCATACAACTCTCCACTAAATGACCCCCCCGACCACTGATATGCATAAATTGTGAAAGAAAAAATTTAACTGATTGCGCTTGCATTTTTCAAATGCTTTCATATGTAGTACAGATTGTGCAATTGCAAATTTACATACATATATATACATACATAGTACATATATGGATACATTTATATATGAATGTGTATTTGTATACTTCAATACTTGACCACTCCTATGGACACTCGACTGCTTCGTTGTGGTATCTATTTTTATTTCGCTTATCTCTATGAAGTATACACAAGTCACACCCACATACATATTTACATATATATGAGCGCATATTTCACACCGTCTGTCGAATGCTTTTGTGCCCCTTGCTGATTTATTTGTTTTGCGTTTTTTTTTTTTATTAGATGACGCACTAAAATTTTGAGCGCAAATATTTAACTTTTTAACTGCCAAAATGTATTTTTTTTATTATAAATTTCCAATTTTGGCTATAAATTTGTATTTTTTTATATTCATATGCGCTTTGTTAAAGTAACGTTAATTGATTTGTTAAATAACAATCAATGCCATAGTGATAGTATAGTCAATAAAAAAAAAGGCAAAAAATATACTATGAAATTTAGTTGCGATCAAATTAATTTGCTAATCAAATGTGCTCACACCATGCATATCTGCATTTGATGTTTATCGGTTAGGCACAGTTTATTAGAAATGAGCCCTTGATATTTTCTAAGGTTAAATATCCACTCCAATTATTTAACTTTGTTAATGATTTTATAATAGGGCTATTCGCGATCCGGTGCAAATGGCCTAGCATCATTGCATTGCAAATTTGTATTGCAAATTATTTGCAATACACAAACAAAATACACGCATTTGCATTTGTCATGGCTTGGCAAATTTGCAATACCGAAAATCCATAGCATAAATATGCTATGCATTGCATTCATAAACAAAACCAAAGCTGATGCACAAAAAGTGTTTTGCAAAAGCTTTACCATGACAGTTTAATAAAGGTCGCTCACAATCCATGGCATATTTCTGCAATTGCATAAATTTGTCAGCTCTTATGCACCGAATCGCGAATAGCCCTATTATCATTACGAAACTGTGTTTAGGGCAGCGAAACTATCGATTTTTCCTTTTGTGAGGGCATATTGGGGGACTGTTTCAGGAAATTTACTTGGTATCGGTCTTTTCGACAACACAAATGGAGGGTCTAATAAATGTTATCGAGTCGTGATATTTACAGTCAAAAAAATAACCTTTAACGTGTCCGAAGATGGAAAGAATTGCGATTAAAATTTCTGCACGTTTTTTGGATAGGGCTCCCACTAAATTTTTTAGTTTATAATAATTTTCGAATCGAAAATCGATTAGAGAATGATGTGAAAACCCCTAGACATTAGAAACTAATTAGAATTCAACGTTGATTATGATTAGGTATCTAACCTTTCCACGATATCGAGAACGAAGTATCTCTTTTGTCAAGATTGCTACATTTCTGAACAGTTTTTCTAATTGCATTCTAACTTTTTAATTAAAAAAAAACACTTAAGAATTCGAATCGTTTTCTAATAGTTCACTAGCCAATTTGTTTGTTGGGAGGGTATACTTATATCCCGTACCACTGAGTTTTTGCGATATTACTCTGTCCTCACTTGTTTTCTGATATTTTTCTAATGTAATTTTTTTTTTCACTGTGTTTTCGTTCTGCACTTCGCAGCTGCATTTATGTACAGAGTTAGGAAAAACAAAAAAATATTGCTTTCTGCAATTATTTTAGTACTACTTTTTATACAATACTAGCTGATACCCTCGACTCCGTCTCCGTAGCTTACTACTTTTCAACATACTTGCAGCAGATATTTAAAGCTAAAAATGCAGCTTTGATGAAAAACAATTTCGATCCGCTGCAGTATATATTTTTAATTTTATTTTTTGTTTTTTCAAATATAATATAGGTAACTACATACATACGTACGCTGTTTACGTTTTTAATCTCGTCTAATCGTAATAATTAATTAATTAATTTTCTTAATGACTCCAGCAACGCCAAGCAGATCCATTTGTGAAAGTATTTCTAGTATTTCATCGAAATCGGACTGTTAAAACAGATTTTATGATCTCGACTCTAGCGCCACCTAGCGGATTAATTTTTCATAAAACTATTTCTCGTCAAACCCCAAGTAGAAGTTTCTAATTTCATCTAAATCGGATCAGAGGTACAGCTTGTGTATATATCGACTCATGCGCCACCTACCGGATTCAAATATAGCCTATGTCCGTAGCTCTTTTGATAGAAGCAAGATTTTAATGTCATTCAAAAACGTTTCTGAAAGCTATTGTAATTACCTTTCACAGAAAAAACTTGCGAAAAAAATTAAACCCCTCAATTAAAAAAATGCATTATTTATTACAATTTTTATTATTTTCTTGCTGCTATGCATCCTTATCACAATTTTATATCATTCGAACAAAAAGTACGTTGTAGTGCTATCAAGATCTTTAATTTGAGCCATGGAAAAGGTGTCTCTAGGACCTCTGAAAGCATTTTCATCCCATTATTTTTTCGAAATTAATTCAAATTAACGGAGCCTAGAACAAAGAAATGCATTTCTGAACTGAGGATTCTTTACTTGCAGTAAAACACTAAACTCACAATAAATATGTGCATGTGCATGGAATGCGAGAAATATAAAAAAAAATTTGAGTTTACTGAAATTGTATTGTTTGCCCATTTTAACTTTAAAGTTCTAAAAATTTAATATTTTATCCAGTAAAAACTTGTAAATTCACCTCGAGATCATACCTAATGAGCAAACAGCTGATTCGAATATCTGTTTTGCTCATGTTTGAAAAATCGAAATCCGATAGAATTTCACGACACCAAAAGAAACAGGTATCGGTTTTCATTTGTATACTTCTTTTGTATATCATAAATTCTGTACTATGTATACGCAATAATGAACAATGAGAAATGCATAAGTCGCATAAACCACATCGATACAACAGAAAATGTTATCGATACAAAAATCCAAGAAATTTCAATGAAATGAAAAATATACCGATAATGAAATCAATGAATACGTATACCGATTAAAATCGCTTTTCATCGATAACTATATCGATAAAGTACCGATAACTAATATGTGTACATACATATATACATATGTATCTACTCTATTCATAACAATGTAGAAAAATATTTATGGCTATCGATAAGAAATTCGATAAAGATATCGAAAAGTAGAGTAAAAAAAAACAACGACAATAACCACATGATCAAGTCTAAAGAGCAACAAAATAGTTACCCTTGATTATAAGTTGAAAAAGCAACAACAATTTACATGGCAAACTTAACTCAGTGGCAAACTTAACCCACTGGCGGCTTTGTAAGCCTAAGTTCAAAACCCAGTGAACTCGATAAAGAAGTCTAATGAGGATATTTGGTGATCTCCGAAATAGTAGCTATAAATAACTCTTACCATATGTAAAATTCTTGTTGTTTTTCCACAAAAATTTTCAATTAAAACCGCCTCAAGCTTAAGAAAATTGTTGAATGTTAAAAAAAAAACTCGATATTGAATATTTTAATTTTCTTAATAAGGTATGGGCTATGCCAGTATACGGTCACTTGAGGCTGCTCACTACCCCAGATTCGGCAATTTTGCTTATAAACACAGCCACCGAGCGTGAAATGAGCCTCACCACTTCAAGAGATTTTCTTCGAAATGAGCGAAAACGCAGCCACTGAAGATTCACGATTTTGGTAGAATAAATTTAGCAACGCATACTTCGGTCGTAAAACGAATCTTATTGTGAAATGGCAAAACTTTAACCAAACAAATACCAGTTGGATAACACACTGACATTTGACAAATGGCAGGTCGAAGTGTATACATATTCCGTTATTATTTTTTTAATATGTTATAGTAGAATACATATTTTCTAATTTTAATTTTATTTTGCATAACTGGATATTAAATTTAGGTGGTTCACAAGGTGTCGGTAAGTGTCGTATTGTCGTATGTTGTAAAGTTTTTAACGGCTAAATAAATGTTTAGAGGACTTGAAACCACAACCAGTTAGTTGTTAACGGTGTAAAATTTCATAATATGCGTTTTATGGTAGCTTGCGAATCCGTTAAATATACACCCTCATTGCGAGAGTCGTGTCGAATGCAAGTCGTTTTACGAGAGTCGAATCGTATCGAAAATTTCACGTCATTGCCAAAAATTTCCACTCGACTAGTGTATTAAAACGGAAAAACTTGGCAGCACTGTATACTTTTCGACGGTTTTCGTCGTTTACTTATTTCAGCACGACATTAGACAATGCGAATGTTGTCGAGTCGTACAATTTAGCCTAATGTACGACTTACGCAATGAGGCTGATAGTTTTAGCCGTTTAAAGTTTACGACATACAACAGTATACAACACCTTGTGAACTCCCTAATTGTTTAATTGCGCTTTTCACAAACTTTTTATATATAAAAATTTATTTTTGTACTAATTTCCTTCATTTAATTTCCTTTTATCTTTGCAGAGGCTTAGCGACACAACTGGTGCGGCAAATACC